TTTTTTTGGGTTTCGCGTGTTTGCCGCCAAGTTTCTTTTGTCAATTTATAGGTTTTAAGTGATGCTCTTTACGATGGAATAGTCAAAATCTGGATTCCTTAAGTTCCTCATAAAGTGAACTTATACCAGTTTCCCATAAAGTGAACTTGTTCCACTGTTTCATGTTGGAGTTTCGAGGGCGGGCAGGTACTGAATTCAGTGATTTGGTGTGTGTGAAAGTACTGCACTGGATTTTACTTTCTGTGGATTGGATGCAGGTATACTCACTGGAGAGGAACGATGCAAAGTTATGAATTGATTTAAGGCTGTAGTAGGTATTATTGATTTTTGGAACTTGGATGACTCATCCAGGATGAGTAGCTTTTGGAAAATTGTTGGATTCAGCTGAGTTGCGATGGAGGTTGTTCCTTTTTTTACTGAGAAACTGAACTGAACTGGGTTTCTGAGTCACCAGAGCGTAAATTTTTCTATCACCCAATCAGAAAAGTTCAGTAAAATCAGTTTCTCAGTAGGAAAAAGGGACAACCGCGAAGGAGAGCGGTGAGGTATTTACTGGATTCTTCTTGGTATTTTATACTTCATTTTTATTGGATGAATAATAGGTTGATTAGTATTGGCTGTTGTGCTAGCTTCCATCTGGTTCGTTTCACTGTTGTCCATGACAGTGACCAACAAACTGCCTTCAAAACTATCCTATTTCTTTCGCAATGTCTCAATGTTTCATGAACGATCACTGTAGATGTCGTTCGGTACTGCTTTTTGTCAGATGACCAACTTTAAATACAAATAAATAATCGATTTGCTTAACTTTCCATAGTTTATCATCTCAATCTTAGAACTGCAAAGCAGCTCTCGTGGAATTGTAATATGATGTTTATTCTGATGTTGACTAAGGCAATGAGTTGTGGGTTGGATCTTGAAGAGTTCGTGCAATCAAATGTTGTTTATCAGTTTTTAAAACGTATTTTTTTTTTGACGAAATTTTGTCTTAGTAACTATGTAAGGGAACAGCCGTTTTTCTTAGATGCCTTTTAGTTTAATGGCTAGAAATATTATTGTAATAGGCGACTTGCACCAAAGAAGTTCCTACCTGTAGCTCAACCACTAAGACGTAAGCGAAAACTTTCTGGTAGTTTTGATTAGTTCGGTGAGCTGGCGTCGAATGGCAGTTTGACAAGAAATTATTCAGCCTCTTGGGGACTACCTGGAGGCGATATCAAGAAGTCGAAAACTTTTTTGTCAAACACACACTGCTATTTGACGCAGCTCATGGAACTGACCAAATGTATCAGAAAGTTTTCTGTTGCGTCCCTTGACTAAGCTGTAAAGCCTATAACACGACTCTTTCACATACGCGGGTCAAAGAATCTTACTGTAAGATCTTATAAGATTCTTGTACGATTTCGTCTGATTTCATAAGATTCTTGTAAGAATTTGTAAGAAACATAGAAACTGATTCTTGATGTAAGATCGTATAGTAAGATTTCATAAGATTCTTGTATGATTTTTATAAGATTTTATAGGATGAATTCGTTTCTATGAGTTTCCATAAAATTTTATAAGATCGTGTAAGATCTTGATCTGTTTTTTGGACCTGGGTAGTTGAATACTTAGTAGTTAGCTATAGATTTTTTTGATAAAAGTGGATTCTTATGAGAATCATTTTAGAGCTCATGTTGGAAATATTGTCTTTTTTCACATAGCGGAATGGAGGATGGAGTTTTCGTCATTATTGGCAAGGATTGTAAAGGTATGAACGGTACTATCCGTTTCATTACATGATTGAATTATCGAGTACGCATTCAAACCCGAGTTTAATGAAGATAACGATACGAGTAATTAAGATATAAAGAATTTGTTCAGAAATCAAAATCTTCTTCGAAAAAGCTTTGAAAGATCTGGAACAAGAACCGACAGTTTGTTTTTATATATTCTCAGAAGATTCTTAGAATTTATTTTCCTATATTTTTCGTTTCGTATCGTTTGATTATCTTATCTATCCGGATATTCGGTTATGTTGCAACATTTCTTATTAATAAATGTTGAAATTTAAGCCATCTATTGATCTAAGTGATATTTGCTCAATAAAAATCTCATTTTTTCTAACCTAGTAATGGTAGATAAAAGAGTAACTATGGATTTCATAGAACTATTTTATATTTACTGTATATTTAGAATAGCTTTGTGTTTAATACATACCTAACATTCATATCAATTTTTAGATAATATAGTTTGTATTTCTTCATTCCTCGATTCGTTGAAAACTTTTAACAAAGTAACTAATTCAGGTGAGGACGAAACAGAGTATCTTTTGTGTATATCAGAGCAAGATTTTTGTATATTGTAGGTTCATTGGATACGAGTCGATCAGAGTGAGAATGGATCCACAGACAGAATCTATAATGAATGAGAATCGTATGTTTACAGGTAAGGAAAACGCTTAGTTCTACTTGTTTTTTGTTGTGACACGTATTGAGTGATTTAGAATCCTATTTTAATCAAAGCGTTTTTTAAGAGCTAATTTTTTAAGTAAAAGATGCGCCTTAAAAATCTCTAAAATACACCATTAACTGTTTCGTTACAAAACATGTAAAAGTAGAATGCAACACGAAAAAGACAGCTTCAGAATAGGCGACTTTCTTCTTTTTAGTGATTTCAAATTTTAATATTAAATGAAAAGTTAGAAATTAACTGCATCAGATTATATCTGATATTATAATCTTTTTCCTAAAAAGTTGACTATTCTGTGACTACTCAGTCTTTTTTGTAAAGCATTTCTCCTGTACATGTTTTTGTAACGAGACAGCTAATGCTTTGTTTTGTAGAGAATTTTAAGGCGCATCTTTTGCTAAAAATTAGCTCTTAAAAAAGGTAATGATCTAAATAGGAACGTTCCAGTTTATTTTAGACTCCCTTAACAAGTAATGTCATATAGATATGAGAAAACATACTACTTAAATATTCCAGGATATTTCAGATAGAAAAAAAAATGCCTTTGTTCCAAGTTTTTTTAATGTAGCAATCCGCTCCTTCGATTTAAGAAAAGACTCAATAATGACGCTATAAGAACCTGAGAGTTTTACTGTAAACTTAGTGAACTATGAGGTATATCTATCTCGAAAAAGCTGTTGTGAGAAAGATACTTCGTTGATGACATTTAATCAATCAAATACAACAACTAAAATATTTTTCTTTTTTCTTTCTTTTTGTGTTGCAGAAAATCAAAATAAATGAGAAAAAACACTACACATAAACGTCACACGGACTTACCATTCAAACTTTGATAATTTTAAATATAAATTTAACACGCGAGTGGGACAGAGAGAGAGAGAGAAAACATTTACTTATTACGTTTTTCATCATTTTTTTATTTGTCTTATTTTAGGTATAAAAGTGCTGCACCAGAGTTCAACGCACATCTATCTCTCTCTTTTTCTCTCTCTGATCCCAAAAAGTATTTGGTATTCTAACGATTTTTTTGTTTCTTCATTTAAGGAGAACTTGAATGTTGAAAATAAAATCTGGCCGTATGAAAGCGCAGGAGCGTGTTCAACTGATGTATATAACTAAAGAGGGTCATCTATGAACTTCTGCTAAAGCCTTGTCTTGATTGAACTAAAAATTTACAATTGTCCAATCTTGAAGGCTTCATTTTTTTTAAATCATGGATTTCAAGGCTATACACGGTGATATTTAACGATGTCATATAAAGGTGTACTAGAAATCACCTTATTGTTCTAGCTTTTCAAAGTGAGACTTCAAGATACTTGGTGAAAAACTAGATTACGATTCGCGTTAGCTTTATTTCAGGAAAAAAATGCTCTAAAATCATAGATCGAATTGAAAACGTTAATCCAGAGTCAAATTTTAAAATTACCAGCTCTTATTATACCGTATTTGCTTCTCGTTTAGTTGTTTGAATTTTATTTCCTGTTTCAGACATGCATCAATCGAATTATTCTCTTTTGTTTTGTCGTGTGCCTATTTGTTTATTTCTTTTTATTATTTTGATTCTTTTTAAGCATTTATTTATGATACACACAATCAACCGTTCTTCGTACATGAGAAAATATAAGGAGAGAAAGCGGCTTTCAAAGGTTGGCCATAAACTTAAATAAAAATATGTTTTTATTAATTTTTTTAGCTATTATTCTGAAAATTTACTTTTGAGACAACAATTTTTATTATATATTTTGTTTATTTCAGACATTGCTGACTTATCTATTGGTAATGAGCAGCATCAACTTGTTCATCATCCTGAAACAACAGCTGTTGTCAAAGAAGAACGTAAAAAATATTCAATTCATGATGTACCACGTTTACCACGTGAATTGACACCATTTTGTCCTCATTCACCAGTATATGAATTGGAACAACGTGGACCATTATACTTGGGCCCAGGACATAAACGTGATACTGGAAAATATAAAATACGTTCGGCAGATGATGAAAATGTAAAACGAGCGAAAAAGCTTGCCATGGAACAAAGTGTCAAATATGTCCTCATGAAACAACAGCAGCAACAACAAAGACAACAACTAGATTTAATCAAAAAACAACAAGCATTGTTATTAATGTGCCGGTATGAGAATATAATAGTTTTCTTTAGAAACTAGAATAGATCTCGCTTAGTGTAGCATAAGATCGAACAGATGTAGTTTTTCTTTCCTTCTGCGTTTCGTTGAACTTTTTGAGACAATGAACTATTTAAAAGCAAATGTCCTAAAATAATACATTCAGCGCAATAACAAAGTATTATATCAAAAAACATCTCGTTGGTCGATTGATTGATTGAAAGAGATAAGGATAGAACAGAAAGAAACAAACCACAGAAGAAGACTACACAGTTGATGGAATCGAAACAGAAAAATACAGTTTAAAACTTTCCAACTTTTAATTGATAGATACAAAGGATTTCTGTTTTTCAATTTTGAGGTGAAAAACTCGACTTTTAGTAACACAATTCTCGGTATTTTTGATTATCATTTAGTTATATCGTGATCCCAGAAGTCATATTATCAGGAAGAATTTGCTAAAAAAATCGATTATGAAATTTCTAGGGTCTTAAAGGTTTAAGCATCATCAATGTTTCAGAATCTCATTTCTTCTTGTTTTTCATTGGCAGAGTATACATTGGTAGTATTAATTTTGAATTAAATGAACAAATGTTAAAACAAGCATTTCAACCGTTTGGTCCTGTTAAAAGTGTTAGTTTAACGTTCGATCCTGTGACAAATCGACATAAAGGTTTTGCATTTCTTGAATACGAATTACCTGAAGCAGCACAACTGGCGATTGAACAAATGAATGGCGTTATACTCGGCGGAAGAAATATTAAAGTATACAGTCTCAATTAATTGAACTTTCTTTGTAATTTTTATTGTCATTTGTTTAGGTTGGCCGACCATCAAACATGCCACAAGCTCAGCCAATTATCGATCAATTAACAGAAGAAGCTAAAAATTATAATCGAATCTATGTTGCATCGATACATGCAGAATTAACCGAACCAGATATACAAAGTGTTTTTGAAGCATTTGGTAGAGTACTATATTAAAATAACTTTTTTTATTATACAGACAAATTTATTCTATTTTCTTTACTTTGTAGGTAAAATCAGAACAGCTGCATTAGCAAAAGATCCACAAACGGGAAAACATAAGTAAAAACTTATATTAATAGAATGAATTTGTGTTCTTATTAACGTTTCTCGTTTTATTTTAGAGGCTATGGTTTTATTGAATATGATTCTATTCAAGCAGCACAGGATGCTATTAATTCTATGAATTTATTTGATTTAGGAGGTATGATGGATGATCTTAGTTAAATGTACCACTACACGATGTTATTTGTATCTGTTTTTCTAGGTCAATATTTACGTGTAGGAAAAGCCATAACACCTCCTGAAGGATTATTTGCATCGGCACAACCTGTTACAAGTCAAATGCCGTCAGCTACGGCATTAGCAGCAGCTACCATAACAGCACAAATGCAAGCAAATGATGTTGAAACAAATCCAGTATCTACTGTCGTACGTTTTAAATCTTATTCCTCTATCAGTGTGATCATCGTTGTTAAACTATTTATTATTTTTAGACAGCAATGAATGCAGCCACAGTAATGTCACAAGTTGTTAATAATCCTTTGGCACAAGCGGCAGCTGGTTTCTTAGGAACAATCGCTCCAACGACGGTTGCAGCAGCTTTATCAGCAGCATCTCTTCAAGGAAGTTCGGCTGCCACATCTAGTAAGTGTGTATTTATCTGTATTGACTAACGTAAAATAGAAGCATGTAGCTTGTTTGTTAAACAAACATTTTGTTTCACTAATTTCAGACGCATTCACTGCTTTAATTGTTTCTTTATTCTTTTTTAGTCATATCATCCATGCTCAATTCAACATATTCTTCTAGTAGTTTTATGTCCATGCCAGGAAGTCAACCATCTACAGTGATGTCGAATGCAATAGTCAATCAGCAAAATTTTGGTCCATCGAAGCAACAACAAAATGAATCTGTACCTGTCCAACAACAAAAGTAATGGAAAAATAACTTTAACTCTTATTTGATCAAATGTTTATCTTTATCTTTTTAGTTTTGATCCATCTCTTACACAACAGCAATCAATCACGCAACAAAGTACATCACCACAACGTATGTGTTGCTAAACATATGATCGGCAAAACATGACAATTAAAATAGTTTCCTTATAACTTTTTGAAACAAATCATTTCTAATGATATTTTAAATAATATCTGCTTTTCCCATTTTTTTCGAGCTACCTTCTCAAATAATTATAAATTAACAACATTTTTTCCTTTTTTTAGCTTCACAGCTTCCACCACCTCCTCCACCGGTTCCTCAATCGGTACCACCAGTAAGTAAATTTGAACCAGTTAAACAAGAACAACAACCGCTTCATGTGGCCAAATTCTCGTTGAAATCTGAATCGTTAACTACTGAACGAAAACTCGAATTGACCGATGGACAAAAAATTCTATTAGGAATGAATAATGCTGATGATCCAACAGCTACATTATCTCAACAAGAAGATTTAACATTGAAAGGTAAATAAGAAAAAAAGCATACTTATATACAAAAAGGAAAAATTGAGTTCTAAATAGAAAATATGAGAACATTAAAGTAGAAATAGTTCTGATGACTTTCTGTATAATTTTTTTTTGCCTATATGTATTTTAGGTCGTGAACAACGCCATTTACTTATGCAAAAATTAAATCAACGAAGACTAGAATCACGTGTATGTGTATTGAAAAATATGGTATCTCCTGAAGATGTTGACGATGATTTACAACAAGAAATAACCGGTAATTGTCTGTCTGATACACTTATTGACTTATTAAAAGAAATTGCGTGTCATACACTGATCGATTTATAAACTGATAATCAGATTGTGACTAACAATTTATGAAAAAATTCTCTTATGGAACTAAAGTAATGATTATTTTCCTCATCTGTATAACTAAGAACATAATAAAAAATTCATTAACAAAGAAAAGTAAACAATAGACTGTTGAATCAAAAACTTTATTTCAAGAAAATTTTGTTTTTTCAGAAATAGGATATTTGAGTACTATGCTAGAGCCATTGGTATTTGAAATAGGACATGGAAATCAGATGACTGATATACAAGTTACACATTTTTCTCTTCTTATCTATTTGTTGACACTTCTTTCCTTTTTTGTTGTAGAAGAATGCAGTAAATACGGTGATGTGAATCGTGTTGTTATTTATAATGAACAACAAGGCGAAGAAGATGATGCTGATCAAATTGTTAAAATATTTGTAGAATTTTGCTACAGTAAACGTGAGTGAATTTAATTTAATCATTTTTTTTCTTCCATTTGTTTTATTGTCTTTGTTTAAATTATTTAGAAGCAGAAAAGGCAGCGGAATCATTAAATGGAAGATGGTTTGGTGGCCGAATGATAAAAGCTGAGGTATATGATCAAGCCGCATATGAAGCAGAAGATTTATCTGGATAAACTTGATTATTTGTTTATTTCTTGTTTTTGTATAAATCATCTGTTGTTCTTGGTTTTTTCTTTTTTTTTGGTTCAATTTCGTTTTTATTTTACGTTTATGTGTATCGTAATTGGCTATATATTTTAGATTAAAAGAGATATTGCTAACTGCTTTCAGCAATTTTTGCATGTGTATGTAATATTCATGCGCAATCTATCTTGTTTTACTTTTTTCTCTTGTTTGTTCTTAAAATAAAATTCTGTACACATATTTTTTTTTTTTGACAAAGATGATAAAATATCTCTTATCAATAAACTGTATGACTCTGTTTTGGGTATATCTGATGTTATTCGAGACAATCAATACAATTCAAATATAATATGATGAAACATAGTATAGTATATATTTTTCAATTGACACATCTCGATTTCAGAGTATATACATCAAATTTATCCGAAATATAGAAGATTCTCTTGTCTTTGTTCGAGATAGATTAGAAAAAACCTAAATTTTTCTGATCGATAAACAAAAAATTTATTTTTGTTCTCTTTTAATTATCGATGATGTTTTATCTTCATTTGAAAAGTCATCATGTAATCATAAAAAGAAGATTTCTTGTTCTTTGACTCTGTATATTGCAGATATAGATTATGCGTTTAACACGTGCTCTTTATTTTTTATCCTCAAATGGATTTTATGTTCATGCTAAAAATAAGACACCAAATTGGTTGCCAATTCTTTCTCAAGGTGAAAAACAAATTGGTTATTCATCATCATTACGTTCATTATTAAGTTTAAAATATTTATTTAATGAAGAAGTATCAACATTAGTAGCCTATTTAAGAAAATTAGTAGGTACTGGTCATCCATTATTAAAACTAGCATCAAATATGTTAGATAGTCCACCAAAAACTGCACACGCACGATCTGTTCTTCTATTATTGATATCAAAAGCAGCTGGAATTCCATCTTCAACTGAAATGAATTCGACAGATATTAAACATGGATTACATGAAAATCAACGTCATCTAGCAGAAATTATTGAAATGATTCATCTTGGAATGTTGGGACATAGAGGCAAGTGAAAATGCTCTACAAGGTGTAACTGTCGATTCTATTATGATGTTTTTTTTGTCTGAGAATGGTATATTTATTAGGAGTATAAAATATTTGAGTAAAGAACGAAAAAAGAAGCATTTACATCATTTTTTAGATGAGTTTATTTACGATAGTGTGTTATTTTAGGCATTGTTAGTTTGGATGATAGTTCAACAATCCAAGAGAATCGAAGTGATCTTGAACAAGGAAATAAACTAGCTGTTTTAGGAGGTGATTATTTATTATCACAAGCTTGTGGTAGATTAGCCGATTTTAAACAGTCAGAAGTAATAATAAAACTATTTTATTTTCTATTTAAATTTTCTATTTTTATGTATTCAAACTAGGTCGTAGAAACAATTGGAACAGCAATTAAAGATTGTGTGAAAGCTGAGTTTTATTTAGACGAAAAGAAGTCGTTACAAACATTATCAGAATGGTACAAATTAACTGCGTTGTAAGTATAATAAACTGCCGTCTAACTATGAAAAAATGAGTTGAACTTTCAATCTGTTAAACATTTTTTTTTGCTATTATTTATTTTCTATTTAGATCTGTAGCTAATTTAGTTGCTTATGGTTGTCGTGCCTCTTTACAATTAGTTAATCATTCTAAATTGATGCAAGACAATGCCTATTATCTATGTCGTCATATTATTTTTTCTTGTATGATGTACAATGATATATCACAATATGCAATACAAACTTCTACAACTGATAACACAACAAATACAACTCCATTATCTTCTAGTTCTCTAATGTTGTATGGTTTATCACCTGTTCAATTATCCTATCCTTACTCAATGGCCAAAGAACTGGAACAACATGATCCATCAAAACCGATAACATACACAGATAAACTAACATTAGATAAATGTCGTGAACAATGTGTTAGAGAAACATATAAAGGATTTCAATTATTAGAAAAATTTCCTGATCAATCATCACAAGCTGTTGACACATTACGAACAATTCTTCAACAAACTCAAGAAGGAGTAATGAAAACGTAATTTAATTTAATTTTATCTTATGCCATATTTTTAGATTATTTTTTTGTCTAATTGTTCATTCATTATAAAAAATCTCAATAAAAAGTTTTGTTAGTTATAGTTAAAAAGTTTTGTGTATTAGTTTACCATGGAACGGAAAGAAGTTTATAACCATGTAAACATGATTTTAAAAAACTCTGTTTACTTTAAGTTATGTAAACAAAATCATAAGGAGCGTATATTCACCTTTTTATCTGAAAAAAAGAATAAGAAAATAGAATCATTCATTATAATAATGCTTTTTTGTTACTGATATATAACATAATGTAGATAATATTATACAGAACAAGCATATTCATTTTAGTAAATAATAAGAAAGGATTATATATAAACATTAGCAATTGTTTTTTCGTCGATATTTTCGTCACCATAGACAGGCGTATGTGAACGAAAGAGTCGTTCATTATTGTTACTTCCACTTAGTAATTGAATAGAATTTTTTGTTGCTGTTGTTAACTCGTTGTCAACAGTGTCATCGTCTTGTCCATGAACATGAATTAAATTCGTGGGTGTACGATGTAAACGTGCAGCAGATAAACGAGCATCAATTTTCTCACGTTGACTCTGCTCTATACGTTGACGACTAGAATAAACAGGAAAAAGTTGTTTGATGTTTTATTGAGGGAAATGAGATACTTACGCTAGTTCTCCTTCATGTGCCATTTCCATAATATCGTTTGCTTTAGCTGTTATATCATACTGTTTTACTTTTTTCTCTTCCATTCGTTGTTTCAATAATTCATTTTGACGTTGACGTTCATTTTCTAGTTTAATATCCATACCTCCCATATGTTGAATTATCTCTTGTGTTTGCTAAATAAATTAACAAATTTCAATATTTTCATTATACGTGAATTCTTCACTATTACACTTACTTGTTCCAATATGGCATCCGTCATTTCGTAGTGTTTTCGATTTTCTTCTGCTCGTTTTCGTCGTTCTCGTCGACGTATATATTTGACTACAGCTGCTTTATCTGTTGGATGTTGATGACTTTTGTCATCAGCTAATAGTGCTTCAAAATAGGCTAATGAAAAGATGGAATAGAATAGTTTTAGAATGTATATTTTCTATTCTGTTTACCTTGATATATCGGATCCAGTTCTGCATCAGGTCGTCCTGTATCTAATGCATCCCGTTTTTGTTTCATATAAACTGCCAGTGGTACGGCATTTTCTAGAATATTTACATGATAATAGTCAAATTCAATATCATCTCAGTTTCTGATTTACCTTTTCGGCGTTTAGGGTTATTTCTATTTTTTGTCATATCTTCTAATTGTCGTCGATATTCTTCTTGTTCTTGTGTAAACTCTTCCATTGTTTGTCTTAATAAATCTCGACTTTCATTCATGACTGTTATTGCACTTTCAATATTTTGTTGATGAAATACTTCAAACGCACGTAAAACCATTTCCTGGAGTTAGAAGTGAAATAATTTAACTACCTTTATTAATAAGTGAAGTTAACTAGAAGGAAGTACAACGTCTGCGTACTCATTTAATTATCAAATCAAGTTCTAAATGAAAACATTTCATTTTTTATGACTTTTAAGACCATAACTTAAATTATATTAAATAATTTTGCCAGTTTTTCCTATGTCGCTGTGATGGTCTTAAGCTGTAGCCGAGACTTGACACTACAACTTAACAGAGTCGAATTTTTGATTTTTTTTTTTAGAAAAATGAAGTAGGACAGCTTTTTTCATAAAAGTTTTGAGAAAACTCTGCTAAGTTGTAGTGCGACGTCTTAGCTACAGACTACTCCAAAATTTTTAGAACTTAAAATGGCGGAGAAATCTTTGTTGCACAAACATCGACTTTTTGATCCACATCCTATGAAAATGTTATCGAATGTTCTGGAAAGTTTTTGCCATGGGACTCTTAAAGATGTGATGACTAAGATGTACCGAAATGTAGAGATCTACACCATAAGGACTTGTTTTTAGAAATCTACGGACATAGCCAAGCATGAAAAAGTTCAAAACTTTTTTTAAATGGTGAGGAATCAGTATAAGGGGAAAAAAAATTTTTTTAAATGTATATTTGTTCTTTAGGTGTTTCAACTATTCTATTTACTGGAAGGAAACGACGTAACGCTTTTCTAGAATAATTTCGAAAATATTCACTTCATAGACACGAATAGACATGGACAAAAAGAAAAATAGCAGACAGATCTCTACCGAAATATCACTACATACTTGACTTTCCGGTTGTAAATCATTGAATCGTTCTTGTTTTTTATTAGTAGCATTTATTAATGTTGTTGATTTGTTTAAACCAATTGTTTGTTTTATTTTTGCTCGAAATCCGACTATACCTGATTTCTCTTGTTGCTGATCTGCAGGTGATACATACGGAGGAATTTTTGTTAATATTGGAAAACTCATTTTAACTCTTATTCTAAACTTATTTCATAAAACATAATAGAAAGGATCATTTCGTCGGCATTAAAAAAAAAAAGAACAAAAACACTTGTGATAGTAATTTACATCATCATGAATAAGAAAAAAGAAATTAAAGTTCACTAAGCAAAAATGTCTATAGAATATTGAACTTTTTTTTTTTTCACAAAAAACATAAGATAGATGTGATGTTATTTAAGACAACCAACAACATGTCATTTGTCATAGATATGTCTGTGTGTGTTTGCATTTCTTCAAAAAGAAAATTTTCTTATTCTGTCGTCTTTGAAGTTTTGGAAAGTTTACACATAGACGATGAATATATATATTTTCCTATGTCTACTCTATTGAACATTATTTTGTAAAAAGTAATAAAAAAAAAAGAAAAGAAAGTATTACAGTAGTTGCTTTCGACTTTTTAAACTTACATAATAAACATTGTTATATTGTCTGTAAACATGACATCAAGAACAAAATACAGTTCTCAATTTATCGTCACTTTTTTTTTTTAATCAAAACTTGTGAGAAAAACACATACTAATTAAAAATCGATTTTAGACAATATCGATCAAATGTAAATAATATTGTTATTTAAATTTAATTCAAAGATTAGTAGTAAATTTATTTTTTTTTATACTTTCGATGAATGTCATTTTGACCTATTTGTTCTCAATTTATTCTTTTTCTCTACAGACTTGACTTTTTTAATTATATAATTTATACTATCCATTTCAAAATGTAATGATCGTAGATGGTTTTCCAATAACTTTCGAGAAAGAAAATTAGAGAATCAGAGAATTGTGTCTGTTACTGTTATGTAGGCAAGACTCATAATCTTATAAACTATAACAATTTATAAACAAAACACAATGGTGGATTCGAACTATGAGACTATGTTTTATATATTCACACAAATCCGAGCTCTCCATCTACCAGAATTCTCGAATGACATCACCTTTTCTGAGTCACATTAAGAAATCTCCGAAATGAACAGAAACATAGATTATCGAGATCATTTTGATCCTTGTGATAAAATTTTTATTCAAATAAAAAGCGACAGAACCTAATAAAAACTTGTCTGAAGAGAAAATAAGCGATTTTAAACTATTTATTAGCTACAAAAATAAAAGCGTCTATTTTGCTCAAGATCGATCTAAACTGCTTGAAAATTCCAGTGTAGCTTTAAACAAATATACTTTATGTTTAGATAATTTGTTGGAACAACTCTACGCAACGTGACGTTTCTGCGGAAAGATCTAGCAAAGAAAAATTGACTAGAAAAATGATTATCTCTTATTACCGTATAGATTCGGAAATTCTCAAATGATTTTGAGGAAACATGCGTTTTTTATATTATAAATTTGGAAAAAATATTGAAGAATGTTTGATAGTGATGCAGTTAACAGTGCTATAATATTGATTTCTTTTTAGATACTTTTCATCTTATGAGCATTCATGTTAGAAAACGAATTATTTGTGCTATTTCGGGAGGTATTGATAGTGCTGTTAGTGCTTTATTGTTAAAGAAAAAAGGTTAATATGAAAAGTTTCATCTTTTTTTGTTTTTGTATTTTAAATCATTGTTTTTTAATGTTTCTAGGTTATGACGTTATTGGATGTTTTATGAAAAATTGGGATAAATATGATGATAATACTGTCACGTGTACACTTGATAAAGATTTGGAAGATGCTGAATATGTGTGTCGTAAATTACAAATTAAATTACATGTTGTAGATTTTGTGAAGCAATATTGGAATAAAGTATTTATGTATGTGATAAATTCTATACCATTTTGAAAGTAGGATTGAACGATTTGTTTCTGTGTTTAGACCATTTTTAGACGATTATCAAAATGGATTAACACCGAATCCTGATATACTCTGTAATAAATATGTTAAATTTGATGCCTTATTAACATACTGCAAACAACATTTACAAACGGAATTACTAGCTACAGGACACTATGTAAGAAATATTCAAACAAACAATGGAATTAAGTATAACTTCTAAAAAACACTTGTTAACATGTTATCTAATTAATACTTATTACTTATATCTGTTTAGGACATAAACTGTTTTGTGGCATCGATCCAATGAAAGATCAAAGTTTTTTTCTATGTAATATTTCACAAGATGCCTTGAAATATGTACAATTTCCAGTTGGTGATATATTAAAATCGGATGTAAAAAAAATAGCATTAGAAAATAGTTTAGAACGTTTTGTACAAAAACGTGAGAGTATGGGCATATGTTTTATTGGTAAACGAAAATTTCATGTATTTATTGATCAATTTATATCCGAGTTAAAGGGTGATATTCGACATATTGAAACGAATAACATCATTGGAGAACATAAAGGAATTCATCGACATACATTAGGACAACGAATACCAATCTATGATAGACAACATGTAGGTGGAAAACAATTTTTTGTGGCAAAAAAAGATCACAGTTCAAACACTATTTATGCAGTATGTATTGATAGTCTACTATTTGAAAGCAGAGAAATGAGTTAACAATTAAAACGACTTTTTTCGTCTAGGCACCAGGAACAAATCATCCAGCTTTATTCACACAACATTTCCATACTGATGCTTCGCATTGGATCGATGAAATACCATACACATTTAAAACTAATGGACATTTTGAATGTGATTTTAAATTTCAACATCGGCACAAAACAATTGTTGTACAAGTTTCATCGTCATCACCTAACAACACACGTTTGAAGATTTCATTACCCATTCCTATTCGATCAATATCGCCTGGACAGGTAAAGTAATCGCTGTTACTAAGTTCAATTGGTTATAAGTTATATATTTTATCGAAAAATTTTAGTATGCTGTGTTTTATAATGGCGAAGAATGTTTAGGTGGTGCACGAATTATTGATAACGGCACATCGTTGTATGAACTGAAACATAGTCCCCCATTGATCAATTCCGATCGTTTGCTTAACAAATACTGATTTATTTTTTTTACCATTTGATTTGGTATTATTTCACAATAAACAGCATTGTAATTACTAGCAAATTATAAGACAACTTTTTAATATTTGAGAAACTTCTCATTAAGTTCTTCTCTTTTATTCTAGTTGATATGTGTCTTGACAGAACTTCCCCCTAGGAAAAATACAGAAAACAACAGGTTGATGAACAGCAACAACATTATCCACCACCACCTCAATATGCTGATTATAGTGTTAATTGAAATAATTGTGCTAGTGAACAGACACAATTTGATTTTGATTTTTTTGAACTAACGTTAGGCAAACTATAAACCGTTTCGTAAACATATA